TTGCCTGCTGGCAGACCGGCAAGTAAGACCTCGTGAAATCACTTTTGGAGGCCACGGCCCCTTTGCGGTACAGGTGGCATTTGCATGTTAAAGGTGATTTTGCCATAAAGATAAGGCAAACGGGTAAGGGAGGTTGGCGTCCACTACATCCAGGCCTACGTAAAAACAAGCCAATTTACTGTCGTTTGCGCAATTTTTCATGGCGCTCGTTCACCGATTCGCGTTTGCCACAATGGCGCTGTCATCACTCGTCATGGTCAACTCGCGTAACCTGTGTGTCACCATCGTGCCACCCTGCAAGACAAGGTCACTTGCGCTCGTGTCTACTGACCTCTCCGTGATAATGAAATAACCGCATACTCATACTGTCGGAGCTTTCTGGCCTCACATTCGTACATGCACACAAGGTCCTGGATTTAGCTCAGACGTAGATTCGGCAAACGATCCGGACTCTCTCTCTTTCTCGCCTGGATGCAGGATTCAGAACTGTAAATGCATGCTCCTACCTCGCCTACAGTCGCCGATTTCAGAAAGAGAAGATTAGGACTGCGGAAGTGATAATTACAAGGTGCCATCAGGCAAGGCTATAAGTAACGCGGAGACAACATTGTGCTCTGACTCAATGTGAAAGCATGAAGAGGTGTGATGGTTTTCGTTGAATGGGGTTTGGTAATCCTTGTTTTGTCTTCAACAAGGAAGACATTAGAATGCTTAAGAAATTCAGCGACATAATTTCAACTTAACATCCTCGTAAACGCAGTTGGAATCGTCATTCCAAAGCCATTTCAAAGCTTATGTGGTGTGTGTTTACTAGACCTTACCAAGCCGATCTTAAGGCTAGACTAGGATATCGCGAGCACATAACGCTTCGGCACGCCTTTAATTGTGCTGAGTATATCAGCAACCGACGTCCATTTGCATTTTCGACACTCCTTTGGTTCGAAATTGTATAGGTCGCCGTGACGGATAACAAAGCTAAAAGGTGTGCTAGTAAAAGTAATCGCATGGATCAAAGTTTTTTATTGCAAGAAATAGAACGATCTACGCGTGGAACTGAATAATAAGTATACACGGGTACATACGAGAGTAAAAGTGGAAAAAAACAAAGTAACCACGCGACTACGGCCTGACGATAAAGCCTTATTGGAAGCTGTGGAAAAATGTCCACGGGTAGTATTTCTGGCGCATTAAAGGGAAACGCTTTTTTACGTCATTGCAATATCCTCCGAAAGCTGTAGGAATTCTCGCCTACAACAATCTCACACATCATCCGAAATTCAATTTGGCATCTAACAAGATTCAATCACGTGACTGGGGATTCGGGAGGACAATATGCGATGCCGACGCTGCCTCACTGACCTACTTTAAGTTAGCGGTATCGTCCTGTTAGTGTCAATTTATCCGGCCCTATTTTTTGGGGCCCCGGCCTCTATGGCATTCTCACGCACGTGAGATCCTAGCGGCGGCCTTCTTGTACAAACTCGGTATATTGTGCAGAAGAACTAGGTCGCGCATGGTACACTTAGACGGGCTGCCGTATGTACGTCAGCCACATGAATCTGGTTCAACTATCAGATGGCTCGATCGACGGACTGCTGCATGAGAAACAGAAGAGAGGGTGTGGTCGACCCTGGGGACTCCTTCCCACGACACTTCAGCGCATTCCTCAATGCAGGGATTATGACGCGCTAAAAGTCGTGACTTGGAAAGTTACCAACTGACTAGATAGTCCGGTCCTCTCAGTACGGAGAATCAGGCCTCACTGACTCCTTCTGAATGTGGTCCCTATGGCAACCCCGATCAGATGGGATCCAAGCCACCCTGTTCCTCTGAATACCTAGCACATGTCTGTATGATGAGGTCACGTCTAGCACCCGTAGATGGGCCGTTAACTTTATCAGCTCCTGCGCCGAATCCCGTCTGCGGTCGTCCTAACTCAATCTTGTCACCTAGCCTGTGTGATTGAGGGAGGATGGAATGTGGTAGATGCTCCACAAGTCTTCCATCATTATAAACTAATTCGCACATAAGTCACCGTCCCTGTGCGCAGCACGGTGTAGAGCACAGCGGACATCGTCGTTCGCGACGGTCGAACTGATAGTTATCCCAGTCAGAGGGGATCATCAAATGAATCGCTGTGCATATCAAAACAGCGTCAAATAATCTATTCTGGAGTGGTAGCTGCGGTTAGGAAAAGGGACGTTTTGTAATTAATAATGGTAGACCGGCAGAAGTGGGTAAGTCACTGTTCCTCGCAGACAAATTACTTGGAAGTTGTAGAGTGTGGGCGACACTGCATAATCAACTTTATTGGCAGAGCTTTCGTGAGCCTTCGAGAGAGTCTGTTGACTTTCCTCGGCGTCTCGCATGTGTGTCTGTAAAGTAGGAGATGATGGATTTTTAATCCAATGTTTAGAATTGATTTCATCGGTTTCGTGCTGAATGAAACATTGCACACGCTGAAATAAAATACGTGAATATCAAAAAAGAAGAGGCGCTCACCGGTAGAGGTTTACTGGAGGTCTGACGGTTAGACTAGTTATGTCACATACACATCTTCGTAATCATCTACGGGAAACAAATGAACTCGTCCATTCCCGACCTACAGTTCACAATGAAAGAAGAAGCGCAGGACAAACTTCCGTTCTTGGATGCTCCCGTCTGCTGCAAACCAGACGGCAACCTGGCGATGCCAGTCTACGGAAAACAAACAAACACACTGCAAACGTTCTGTCGAAACCGTAACCACACTGCAACACAAACAAAGCTGTGTACGCACGCTATACCAGCGGGTAAAAACCCACTGCAGCACTCCATCCGCCGAACAGGATGATATGAAGCTCCTCCAAGAACTCTTCAGAGTCAACGGCTATTTAAGAGCATGCTTTGAAGGGATCCAAATTCAAAAAATGGAGCGGAATGAACAGTATGGTCAGCCAAAATTTTGGCGGAGTATTCCGTACATAAAGAAAGTCTCCGAAGCCGTAGCTTGATCACTCACGCCACTCGAACAGGACTTGCTCACAGGCCTGGCTCAACAATATGCCAGCAAGTGATGCAGCCAAAAGACCCTACCCCTGAACAGCAGATGTCGGCCGTTGTCTACCGACTTCAGTGCAGCTGCGGGATGCGCACCTACGTTGGGGTAACCGGCCGACGGCCGAAAACGCGAAGACACGAGCGTCAGTTGGCCGTGCGAAAGTTGGGCCCAAAGTCGGGGGAAGTAAACCATACAGCGAAAATGAGACGCATCTCTAACTTTGACGCCGTTTAAACCGTGGGCCGGGGCGGTGATCATACAGCAAGGCCGGCGCAAGAGGCCTGGATTTCCGCTGGCTTTTCTGTCAGTCGCCACACTAGTTTGCCACCCGCCTATCTACGAACCCTCTTGACGGGGGACGGTCACGGCGCGGAATAGTAGGGGCCGTCAATTATCTCTGCGGTCGACGAGGGCAGAGATTACTCAGGTCACGGTGACATGCGGGTCGGACGCAGCCACACAGGCGACGTTGGCGGGTCACGCATCGAAGTGCTCCATATAATGATAGCTGTGCGCATGACTTTCTAGTCTTAGAAGATGGGAAGGTTAGGTAACTGCCCGAAACGCCAGCCCTCCAGTAAACCTCCCCGGTGAACCTCCCTTCTTCCTTTGACATGTCATCTGTGAATAGGTAATCAGTCACACTGTGGCCTCGACCTAATTCCTCCAGTCGATTCTCGACCGTAATATACTTTTTCTTCATTACCGTATTAGGGAGTTTCTGTAGTGCAGCAGACCCGTCCCCGCACACAACCACACGTAGGAAGGCACTATCCGCAATATCAATGAATCCGGATGGATTATCTATGATCTCAGTTCTGTCAATCATAGGTATAATTAAGTACCTGATACGGGTGCCACTAGCATCTTCTACTTTTGTCTGTTCATGCCGGGTGGCAGTATCACGTAGCTGGAGCAAAAATGAAAGTGACCTGCAGCCCGGAAAGCAAGCCATGCAGTTCACCGAAGCTGACATCGTGACCTTCAGTTAAAATGATAATGGTTATGAAAAGTTAAACAACAGTCTTCCAAACTCACTCGACGTTGTCTGACAACTTCTTCCACTGTGTTCTTTTTTGGACAGGCAAGAGCGCGATTATAACAAAATGGAAAAACAAATTTCCATGCGTCGAGCGTTTTCTCTGTGTTTTCGACCGTTTCAAACCAGTGAATCAGTAACATCGACGGTGAATTTCCCCTGTAGCCCTAAGGTGATGACCATAGACGACCTTCTTGAATGTTCAGAAAAATTTTATAATTGGAGCAAGGTTTATTTAAGCTGATTTAAGCAGACTTAACGTTATCAAATCTCGGTGTCGCTGGAGAGAAGTTGACCATCTCATATCAATGAGTCCCTTTCAAGACATTACTTACCATCGTTATTAAAGAAAATGTCAGTGTACTTTGGGAACTCATATTTTTAGCTCGTAAAACCATACAGAAGATAATACGCTAATTCCATATGAAATCTAAGGCAGCTGTTCACTGTGATGACTAGTCTGACCGTGTTTGAGACCATATCCCGCGTGTTTTTAATAGGCAAAATAGCAGGATATATAGTGGGCTCTCCCCACAAGGAAGCGCGCAGTGCCGTTTAATGACCCACTTCATTGCATCTCTTTACGACTCTTGGATTATCAGACAACCGACTCGCGGAAGCGTTTTCAGACAAATTTTCATTTGTCATTTCGTGCTAAGTGAAGTACGCCTCCTAAAAACGAAATTGAAGTATTGCCATGCCATTAGCCCGCCGCCATTGATAGTGCAAATGGTTTCTTATGTGGATCGGCAATAAAATGCCCTGTGTGCAAGCCATTCATGCTGGGCTTGGCTTCGTTGACATCGATCAACTAGAAGAATGTTGCGCCGAAACATATATCGATTTTTCGTCGCGTGTTTATTTGAATTACTTTAGTGCCGTTAGGGGCACCGGAAGCTGTTTTGCCCTTCTAATATCAGCATGCTTGACCCCCACGCCGCAGACCCTGCTCTTCTTCAAACCTCTAATAACACGTCGAGTGAGCGCGTAGTAACGCCAAAGTTTGTGGATAGTGACGATCAGAAAGAAGCACACTCCGTGACTCCAGCTAAAGCCGTCGCACCCGTCAAGTCCAGTTGCTCAAATTATGAATTCTACACTAATCTCAATGCCTCTGAATTTCCGGGGTCTGCAACAGCACCGCAAACTCCTGCTGATGAACCTGCTGTTAAAGAAGCACCAAAAAGGAGGAAAGTAAAAATGCCAAAGAGATATGAGGGCATTTCGCCTCCAAGGAACTTGAACCGTCCCAATACCTGCAGCAAAGATGAAAAGGACTTTCCTGTGAATAAAGTAGCCGAGAGCATGGAGGCTCCTCCCAGTTTTGTCTACGTGACTTCACAGGCAGGAACGAATTTTCGGCTTAATTTTGTGGCAACCAACGTCTCTTTTGAACCATTGTTTATATGTCCTAGGAAGAGGCGACCTAAACCGAACGAAAAGGATATTCAGGTGATCGCTCATGAAACTGTCGTGGAAGAATATGATACAGCTAGTGACAGACTGTTTATCACTCGTCCTAAGTTCATTGTCGAACCTTACCAGGATGAACCAGACAAGGTGGTACTACCACCGCTCCGTGTTTATACGTCAAATCAACTGCGTCGAAATCCCGAATCTATCAGCCGTCCCCAGCGGAGTGCAACAGTGGGATTTATTTACGTGCGATTTGATGGAATTTTGATGAAAATTCGCGTGAAACCCTTACCTATAACAAAAGTCAAACTGCCTGTAACAGATGATGTCAAAGCGACAATGGAAAGGCTGCGAATGCCTTCATCGGACTCTGCCAAAAACCGAGCCCAGCTCTTAGTCCGCTACAACAATGATGTACTGAAGATATCCTTTGGTCTTTCAGAATGTTCACTTTCAAGGTTACCAGAACGAAAGTCACTGGCTATACAAACAGAGGCTAAGGTTGTCCTTCGCTCTGAGTACTGTCCGGTAGCCCAGAAAATGGTATATATCCCGATACCTGAGTCCACCTACTACTACAAAGACCCAATGATTGATATTCGACGCCTCAACGACCACTTTGCAAGGATGAAGATCCATCCATTATGGAAACATGAAATGTTCCACAAACGTGTTTCTGCAATGCGTGGCAGTGGTACAATCGAGCAAATGGTGGAAAAGGTTTTGAAGAGAAGTCGCGGCTCTATCTTAGTATTTGAAGGCTTTAATGCCGTCGCCACAGCCATTGGAGGGCTTCTTTGTGCACGTGTCTCAGACGGTGCCCAACTGTACGAGTCCAAAATGCACACTTACCTTGGGAACATTGAGCAAGAACCCCGTCCAAAGGAAGTCAATGTTTCCTCTAGCGCCGAGCTACAGATTAAGGTAAGGGTTTTCGTGCAACGGTTGACCTGAAGCCATGTGAGCCATTTATGTGGGCGCAAACTTTTTCCAAAGCCGGAAAATCTCTAGCATAGTATTTACCCATTTCCATTGAATTCCCTCCTTTTATATTATGTCGGTTAGACGGTTAGTATCCTAATCTTGTTTGGAGCCATAAAACCGAACCCAGACGAATCAAGATGTCCGAACGGGAAAGAGCCTACGGTAGCTGAGCTGTCGCTGTAAACAAATAACTGCATGGTCTGTTCTACATTATCCAGTCAACCGAGTTCACTGATGGAAGATTTCGTGGGCCACCTTGCCAGCATTGGCTGACCTGCAAAAAAGGAGAAGGTAACATTTTCAGATCTACCTTCGGCATTCAAAAATCATGCGTGAGACTCCGAATGCGGAATGTTCAGATACCAAATTCTATCTTTACTGTACAAGCAAGCAAACATGGCAACGGTCGGGCGAAGAAGCCCAAACACACACGAGCAGCCGAAGGTGCCTGTTTTAGGGGAAAGGTGATAATAGGGGTTTTGCGAGCGGAGCCTATGTACGCATAGAGGAATGGCAAAATAAGTATAGATAATTGGTAAATTTGTTTTTCAGGCGGAAAGTCTTAATTCATTGACATAGAGCAACTGAAGTTGTGCAGGAAAATTTAAAAAATGTGCATTAAACGTCTAAAACGATCGTTTCTCAACTCTCTGAACTGAGATCATTGTAGATAATGCAACAGGTCGTCTACAGTAGATGACCAAACCTTGTACGATGAAACACCAAACCGAAATAATCGTCTTAGACTAAAACCAAATCAAAAGAGTATAGAAGGTATTCTTCGTATGCCACGGATGCTTGGGGCGCTTCACCCGACCCTTGCCGCAAACGTTTGCTTATTGTAGCCGTCGTCAGTCTAAATGTTGGCTGCTGACAAACAAAGATGAAGTACATCTTTGGTATACTGACTTCAAAACGGTCCATTTGTTGTGAATACGGAACTACATGAGCGGGTTTTTTCTCATAGAGTGAATATGTTAGCAGTAGACAAAAATTCCGTCCTAGTAATTAGCAGATTACGGGGAAAAACAAGAATATAGAACTCTGGTATTGGAAGGTAGAACAGATTTCTGCTGATAGTGCATATGCGGCCCCAATCGGATTTTGAGGTTCTCGGGTTTCGTTGTACACACATGGTTTCGTACTGCAATCTCAGGATGAGCACATTTTGACGGGATAAAGACAATGTTGAAGCATGTGAATGAGTTCTATTTCTCGTCGGTTAAGCTCACAGACAGTGCTCAGACCACTTGACAAAACATCCCAGAGTGAAATTATTAAACACCACATGTTTTGGCGAAATAAAACATGACTCAAATGTATAGCCCATTTGTTAGACGAAGATTTAAAATTTCTAGAAGACTCGTCATTCAGCAGTGTTCCCATAGTGCTGAAATGATTTAAACCCTAAAGGTGCGAAATCATCCATTTTCCTCAATCTATCCTACGTTTATTAGTCAGTAAATGAGAAATTTGCAGAAATTAGCTGAAGACATGAAATGCTTTAAGTTGACTAAGAATTTACAAAATTGGCCTGCGCGAATTCCGTCCTCAATTATCCTCGTAATCCTATTTGGCGGCCTGTCAATATACTAGTTACATACGAAAGGACAGAACTCTTACCGCTGGCAGCGGTAGATATAAGCCCTCGTTAATTAGGTCTTTTACCCTTCTCTACACCATATCTGACAGTTCGACCGTCGTTGCCGACGATGTCCACCGTCTGCTCCACAGCAAGGTGGAGCAGGGACGATAACTTGTGCGTGAATTCGTTTAAAATGAATGTGGACTTGCACGTCATCTACCGCACTCTCTCCTTCCACATCCGGACCCGGTGTCTAGACAGCGTCAAGAAAACTTGAGGCGGGGGAGGGCGCAGGTGGATGGCACGGTGGAGCCCGCACCTTGCACTCCACTCCACACCCCCTGGTCCACACAGCAAATGACAAGATTTTTGACCAATTGCATCAATACGTGGGCTTCAGGGGCCCCAGTGTGCGGGGCCTCTACCGGCAACGGGGCCTGCGACCGCTCCCCGAAGTGTTGGCATTTGTTATGGTGCGCAAATCGGATAACGCCTGCCAGAATCCCCTATGGCTCTCGTGCTGGCATAGCGCATCTACCACGTGGTCCGTTTGGGGAGCACGCACCACATCCACGAGCTCTGTAAACAGCATCGCTCTGCTCCTTGACATGCGCAAGAACTCGGCGAATGTCCAGGGACTTAAACCGACCATTACCATTTTACTGACGAGACGATTTTGACGAAAGATCTCCTTGAGGTAGTGGCGACAGTAAAATCTGAGACTATGGTTGCGACTGTAATCATGATGGAATGTTGTTTGTATTATTCAAACTAAATATCGTAGTTGAATTTCGTTCTTTCATAGAATTAATACTCAGCTAACAGAATCTCACAAATAATATAATTCGATCATGCGTGTACGGCAACACATCTAAAACTAGTTTCTGTGAACCGCTGTTTGACATTGCAGTGTTGCCATATCCACTTAGCATCATCATCCACTCTTTGCCACACTTGCGGCATATCAGAATTTGTCTGTCGTCGAGTCTTCGCATCTTGCAGGACGTTCGACTGTCAGACGGCTTTAAAGACCATTTTTATCGCTTTTTGTAAGCTATGCTTGCGGGCTGTCTTATACGCTGAAAGGTGTTACCAACAAAACTTGGGGAAACTGGAATACCCGCTTCTGATATACCAATCATTAACAGTTCAAATCCAGATGCGGGCAGGTCTGGGGTGGAACCCAGACTTTAATAAACAACAGAGCATTTTAAGTCCATTGCTCCACCCAGATTAGCTATGTGCAAGTCCGTGATGACCTGGCCGGGAGTTAACATCATTACATAAGGATGAACGAAAGAGAAAAGTTCCGTTTCAAATGATCAGATAATCAAATCCTGGACTAGAGCAGAAAGGTGCGCGAAGGCAGAGGGGGTACGGCAGCTCGTTTGCAAAACCAATCACTGCTTGGCTAGTCATGTTTCCCGACTAAGTCTGGACTAGAGCATACACGATCACAAACTTTCTGCTCAAAACGATAACGAATTATCCCGTGAAGTACTGATAAAGACAAGAGAGACTTAGTCAGTCGTCTATGGCTCGTCGTCGTTAGCCGGCCATGCCCCATCCCGGTTTTGGATAAACTGGGATTGGTGGACGTCCCCTTCCCGCGCATTGTTCCAAGTTGCTTTCCAAGCTCCAGAAACGGACCGTGTATTCACTTTCACGGACAAAACGGTAGCCGAACAGAGCTGACACAATACGCTGACACAATACGCTGAGGACCCATTAAGACCTAACTATCTTATATGGTGGTCAACCTATTCCGAAATCAAGAACTTGCTTATGTAGTCGACGACTTATCTTCCCGTCGATGCTGCATGTCGTGAGCAAGTAAACACCGAAATGAGTGACTTGAAGGTTTATAAATATCTTTTTCATTCTAGAGATAGGAGTTAATTTGGGTAAACATTGGTCTGGACTGCAGATGTAACATCTTAATTGTTTGCCTAAGCGGCGGCTGAGGTGCCTTTTTCGTCGGAATTTTCGGATTGGCGAAAATTCAATGGAAATACGTATTCTAGTTAAACACGCTGAATTCCTCAATGTACATAACTTCCGCTACGAGTTATAAGTTCTCTGAATATGTATAGTATCTGTCGTATATGATGTTGTATTTGAGAGGTAAGTAGCCACCATAGTGGATCACAATGCACTGCTTGAGTTTTGAAACGAATTTTTATGAGAATGCTTTCCATCTTAGTGTTTTATTGTGCCCGTTTTTACCCTTTCACGGATTTTGTGCCTCTATCACGCCTCACTGAGGTAGAGCGTTTCGACCAGTTAAAAGTTAACAACTAACCCAGATTTCTTATAAAAACTGGAACACCTTTAAGACTGAAGCAGATTAAAATAGGATAACTACGGCACGGAAACCTGTTGTATCATTGTCAGTGCAAGTTCCTCTCCCTCATCATAAAGGCAGTACGTAAGTTTGGATTTTAACTACAAGCCTCGTACTTTTCATTCGATGCCTTCAAACATTATCCAGATCGCATTCCGCAGGTTTAGCAAGTGACATGGCCACATGCCCGAGACAGATATATATATTCTCATTATGTACTATAAGCCTGTAGGAAGAATTTCTCCCATGCATAAACTTTGACTATTCCAGCCCAGTCCAGCTATATGCTGAGTCGCTGACGTCCTTCGATTCA